AATCTTGTAAAGATTATATCCTTCCCATGTTATAGGCTAGTTGTCCTGTGGACTCAGCTGTAGGATGACTGCAGTCATTGTTGATAGTTTATCCTTCTATCTGGCAACTGTTGTGCATTGTACTTGCTGTCTTTCTTTTTGTATTGATGTTTTACGCTCCCCCTTAAACATATTAATCATGTATGAGAAGCCTCTCATCGTTTTTCAGTGCTGTGTAATTCTACCCGTGTCCAAGACAGATTTTTGCTTTTCTTTGGGGAATATGCATATCAATTGCCATTCACTGCAACATGAGAATAGCATTTCGTAGGGCTTAGTTTTAGTAAGCTAGCAATCCCAACATTTCTATAAAACAATATTTTTTTTTTTTTTAAGGCATGCTAGCATCTAGTTGTTATGTTTTCCAGTTAAATGTGTAATCCACAGTTTGAGCCCGGGTCCAAATATATGCGGTGCAGTATATGGCATGTGATTCGCACAGGAACCGCACCGCATTCCTGTGCAAATCACATGCAATGTGTGTGCGGTACGATTGGAGCTATACATTTTGTATGGCTCTAACTGCACCGCACCGAAAACATACAGGACCCTTCTTTTGGTCCACACTAGAATTGGATCACATGGGTATTCACACCTATACACTCCGATTCTACACATCACATCACACCGCGTTTTGCGGACTGCTTTCGGTGTGTTCTTAACATACAACACCCGCAGCAGTTCACGTGAACGGGGTGCAATTCTGATGCGGTACGGAATTTGCACAGAAAATGCTGCGAATTTCGCACTGCATCAATGTGAACTAGGACTAAGGGCCCATTCACACCAGGAATCCTGCAGGAGTGCACTGTGGCCAGGACACCTGATTTTTTTTTTTTTTTTTTTTCTGCTGGGGTTAGGCAACAATTACAGGTTTTGTCATTTCTTCGACCTTTGAGTGGACAGTGAAATGAGAAGAAGAAAACAGATGAGCTAATTTCTCTGTCACTCTTATATTGGTTCTTCTATTAGAATGTTTAATTGCAGCACTGCAGCCTGGCTCCCTGTGCTGCTTCTTCCTCTTTCAGTTTGATCTCTGCTGTACAGATGCTTATGCCAAGTTAACCCCTTCACGCCTAACGGTAAAATAAATCTTAAAGCCTAAGTGAAATTTTACAACTTTTGACATGTGTTAGTAAAACCGTACATATCACAACTACTTTGTACATCCAGGTGAATTATACATTTGTTTTTTAATGGACAAATTGGGCTTTCATTTGGTAGTAAATGGTAATGTATATCCCCTGATTTTTTATTTTTTTTTGTATTATCCTAACAAACAAACCTTTATTGCTATCACATAGATCAGTGTTTCTCAACCTTATTTTTTTTTTTTTAGTCAAGGCACCCATTAAAATTATGGACAGTCTTGAGGCACCCCTAGACTCTCCATAATTAAAGAAGGGCACCCCATTCTAAAATGTGAAAAACTATTCTAATAGCTTTATATAATGCAGCAACATCCACACATGTAGGACACCCAAAATTAGAGGGGATTTATTCTATCAAAGCAAATACACTTTTGCACACTGGTACTGATTAGTATTCCAATGTTTCCCTGTGTAGTATTCCAGCACTGATGGAGAGGGGAGGGGGAGGGCCAAACTAGGATGCTGTGCAGGCAGCTGACATCCTCCTTATCAACTGATGGTGTTATTGGTTGTCAGGATGCCGGCGACTAGAAAGTCGTAATGGTGCACAATGAAAATCTGTGGCTTTGTGTAACTAAAAGACAGGCTTCTTCCACTCACTGGCTTGTATACAAGTTTTGGGCAATTTTTAGACATTTTGCCAAGGCACCTCTGAAGAAACCTCAAGGCACCCTGGTTGAGAATGGCTGACATAAGGGACCAGTAGTCCCCTATGTGATGGGATATAGGTTGTGATAGGGTTGTTTTATGGAGACTTCAGGTCCATAGTACCCTGTACTCCACTGCAGCCAATGGCGCATAGATCATGCTCCATTAGTTGCTTCCCCAGGTACTGCTCCCGGGGAAAGGCAGCTTCGGACCAGGAAGTGTTCTAATACATGTTGCTTCCTGGTTCAGCCCCTAACCCATTTTAAAACGGTGCTGGAACTAAAGTGGTTAAGTAAATATTAGTACATTTTATTCAGTGAAGATTCTTAACTCCTTTTAGTAAATCTACCTCTGTGAGTGCAGAATTATTAAACTGGTTCTACACACAAAATGAAAGTGGACATTAAATAACATTATGCAGTGTGCCTCGTAGAAACATGTTTTTAGATATCCTGAAACAGTAAAGTTTGAAACAAAGTGATTCTGAGGCGCTCTAGCTCACATGATGTGGCCTGTTTCTTGACCATGGTCATGTCCTGTGGTGCATAGACGTAATAGAACAGTAAGGTGTTGGGATACTTGAAACACTGCACATTATTTAACTGTCTAATCTTAGTATAGGTCTGCTTTAACATGCTAGAATGCAGTAGGTATTAAATATTTGAAATAACTCCCTGGCCTTGCACTTTTGGAAAACATATTCCAAATATTTTTATCTGATTTTCAAATGATCATGGCTGGAACAAGTCTGCAGCTGTCATTTAATCCCATGCTATTTCTGTCTTGGCCTTTGTACAGTAAGGCTCCTTTCACGCTAGCCTGTACAGTAAAATAGTGTTTTACCGCGCAGGCTAGTGCCGTTGTGAGGTATGGCAGGGGGCGGCACATTGCACTGTTCACTTTTTCTTTTTTTTTTTTTGTTTTGTTTTTACACTTGTTTCATTTCTTTGTACAGCAGGACAGTGCATTGTGCTGCAGTACAATGACATGCAGTGCCATCCAGTATGCTGCAAAAAATGCAACGTGTATGGAGTGATCTGCAATGCAGAAAAATATAGTGTTGTAGTGTGAACAGGGCACATAGAAAGCAATTGTCTATGTACCTGTGTGGTGACTGTAGTTTATCTGGAAAGCCCACAGTCACAATGTGTGAATGAGTCCTTAAATTAGTTATGGACACTGAACGTACTACACACATTCTAAATAACTTCATCACGTTACATAGGAATGTACCTTTTCTCCTACTGCCTTTTTGCTGCTTTCCCCTATAATAGCTGCTACTATCAAAAAACAGACTGTCCAAGGCCCCATTCACACTGACGGGGTCCGCCGTGTCAGTTTTTCGGGTGGAACCAATCAGACCATCTATAGCTCTCTATGGAGTGTTGGGTGTCAGCGGACATGTGTCCGCTGACATTTTGTCTGCTAAAAACAGATGAATGGGGATCCGTTCCCCATTCGTCCATCAGATTGGATGACAGGTGGTCTGTTTCCATCCGACCACCCCATAGAAAACAGCGGTCTGTGTCTTCGTCCGTTCGGCAGCAGCAGAACGGACACAAACCTGTCATCCGTTTGCTCAGTGGGGATCAGCGGAGAGATCCCCCGCTGAGCACACGGATCCGTTGACGGGTCTGCCCCGTCTGAAAGGGGCCTTACGCAGTGTTAATAGACACTGTTCAGTCAGAGACACAAAGTAAGTGTTAATGCTGTATCTACTATGTTTCTTCCATCTACTGCTCAAAGGGATAAGCATCTTCTGATCGAATGTCAGTTAAAGCAACCTGACAAGTAAAGAAACACTTAGGCATTAAGGTAAAAATAAAACCTTCGGAGTGTAGCCCCCTCCCTATTCATTATACTTATCTGAGCCCAATCTCAGTCCTACCCTGTGCACAAAAGCAGTGGCTCTCTACCTTCATTGGCTCCCACTGCTGTCAATTACAGCCAATGAGGACAGAGCAGGGGTTGGGGGCAAGCCACACTCTGTGTGCCTATGAACTATGCAAATGTTGAGTTGTCCCCAGAAAAGTAAAAGATGAAAAATCTGCTAGTGGTTATTGGATAGGAAGTGAAGGAAAATCTCCCCAATGGGACACAGATGGCAATAAAAAAAACTGACGGATTAGAACCCTCCATTACACTATACACTCCTTCCTGCTGTCCATACGCATATATGTGGCCTCTCGGATGGTGGGCATTTATCCGTACCTAAAGATAAACAGAGCTGTGCCAAGCACATTGTCCCAGCACAGTTACCAGTGGCTAACTTGCAAGAAAGCTTTTGCAAACTCCAAGCCAGCTTTCATGTATTTTGCACTGAGGACAGGCTTCTGTTTAGCCACTCTGCCATTAAGCCCAGGTCAGTGGAGGGCTGCAGTGATGGTTGTCCTCCTGGAACTTTGTCCCATCTCCACACAAGATATCTTGAGCTCCATTGAGTGACCATCAGGTTCTTCTCTTAGTAAGGCCCTTTGTTTGGTTTAGCCAGGCGACCAGCTCTTGTAAGAGTCCTGGTTGTGCCAAACTTCTTTGAGAAATATGGAGGCCACTCTGCTCTTGGGAGCCTTTAGTGCAAAATAATGTTTTTATAATTTTTTTGTAGCCTTCCCCAGATCTGTGCCTTGCAATAATCCTGTCTCTGAACTCTGCAGGCAGTTCCTTTTTAACCTCATGGCTATTGCTCTGATACAGTATGCATTTTCGGCTGTGAGGCCTTTTATAGAGAAGTGTGTGCCTTTCCAAATCATGTCCAATCGATTCAATTTAATTTACTACAGGTAGACTCCAGACAAGAAGTGGAAACATCTCCTCAACGATCAAGAGAACCAGCAGGCATCTGAGATAAAAAAAAAAAAAATGAAGTGTTGCAAAGAGTCTGAATAATTTGTCCAATATGCTATTTAAATTTTTTTTATTTATTTTGAATAAATTCCCAGACATTTCTAAAATTCTATTTTCACGTTGTCATGGAGTATTGAGTGTAGAGTAGATGAGAATAGAAATTAACTGTAGTATCAGGCTGCAAAATTGAAAAAAGTGAAGTGAATACTTTCTGAATGCACTGTATATCTCTTGTTGCGTGTTTCCTTTTTTTTTAAATTATTTATTTTTAAAACCCTGAATATGATCCTCAATTTTTAGCTGTTTTTTTTATTTCAGGTGTGTGGATGATGTGTATACTATGGCTAGTGACCCTTTGGAAGGATTTCATGAAGTGAATCTCGCATCACCCACAACTCCAGACGTCGGTGGTGTTAATGTAAAGCCTCAGGAACCAACTACCTCACCTAATGTTATCTATAGACATTTAAATGTCCCTTCAAACCCTTCACAGCCAAACACATTGAACGCTTCTGACCTACCCACACAGCCTGTGTATTCTTCACCAAGGCACTTAAATTGTCGGGATGCTACAGGGAGAAGGTAACCTCTAGTTAACCAAATCATTAAAAGCTCCTTTACATTTTTCCGTTTGTGCTGTGGATTTCAGCAATTTCATACACTTTACTGCGGGTTAGTGCAATGTATAGATGTGAAGCCAGCTTTTGATATGAGTTAGAAATTTACCCATATTTAAACCTGGTGTGCAGAAAGTCACTCCGCTAGACTACATGTATGTTATGATACCTTCTTTTAATTTTACGAAGGCTCCATTCACATCTGAGTGTAGCTTTTTTGTGCATTTTTTGGCGCGTTTTGTTGCGCATTTGCAAACGTTTACGAGCAATTTGTTCTGGAGTTTTTGGGCTTTTTGAGTTCTAGCGTTTTTATATTGGCTGAAATAGAAAAATTTCATTTGTGACATCAATTGTTGCTATGTTTTGCCATGCCAGGAAAAACGCTCTTGGTCGCATGAAAGCACATGAAAATGTACAATTTGCGTGCTTTCTTGCATTTCTATGGAAATGAAAACAATTTGCTTGAATAGAGCTACAAAAGTAGCTACAAAACTTTTTTGAGCTTCAAGGTGTTCTGCTGCAGGCGATATGGAGTGGAGATGTGAACCATCTCCATAGAGTAATACTGATTTTTTTTTTTTTTTTTTTCTCTGAGCATTTTGGAGATTCGAGCTTTGCGCTACAAGACACTTGAGTATGAATGGGGCCTAAGTGAGCACAGAAAAATTGGTTATTTTCTCTTCATTTTTACATTTTTCTTGTTATATGCATCTATATTCTAGCAAAAACATACCAGAATATCTTATAACTGAACTGGCCGTGTATTTTTTAACATTACGTAGGAGTTTAAAGTGGAGCTCCATCCAAAAGTGGAAGTTCCACTTTAAGTCTTTGTACCTTGCTCCCCATTAAGGATTGGCACCTTTGGGGAGCGGGTTCCCCCCCCCTCCCCCCCTCCCACCGTACCCAAATTTGACAGGTACCCGCTCCCATTTCCCAAGTTGTCTTCCCCCCCTCTCTCCCCGTAGTCTTGTGGGACAGGGTCCCGGAAGACTACAGGGCCATTCACAAAGCGCAACGCTTCTCGCGCATAGCCAGTGGGCACCTGGCTGTGAAACCGCAAGCTGTCACAGCCGGGTGCCCACACTGAAGATGCCGGTGCCAGGGAGAGATGACGGCCGGTGAAACCAGCGGTGTTGAGGACACCGCTGGACCGAGGAACAGGTAAGTGGCTGTATTTTAAAGGTCAGCAGCTACAGTTTTTGTAGCTGCTGACTTTTTTTTTTTTTTAGGGGGAACTCCGCTTTAAGTAAATAAATTAGATAGTAGTGTTTTAAATAAGCAAACCAGTGAGTTAATATGCATCTATTGTGTGATCCTATTTACAGCACCAACTTATCGGATACTTCGTCATGTTCTACCTCTGGATGTCAGGCATGTTCACCCAAACACAGTCGGAGGAAGGACAGCAACCGTGCAGAGAGAGAGTTTTTGCAGGGAGCAACACTGACGGATGTAGTGGACGGGTCAGATGATGTGCTTAACTGGAGTACAGACAGCCTATCCCACCTGCGGAGTCCATCTGTTCTAGAAGTCAGAGAAAAAGGATATGAACGCCTAAAGGAGGAGCTTGCTAAAGCCCAGAGAGTAATAAAGTGCACAGTGTTAAGCAAATGATAACTATTATGTTTGCCAAAGTTTCCTTTTGTAAAACTAACTATATGTAATGGCAATCTTATAAGTGTTGGCTAAAATATTTCTTTTGGCCAACTTTAAATTTATGAGGGTCCTTGTGTGAGCTACCCTATGACAAAAAGTGGTGTAATTGGGTCTCTGAATATTGAATGAAATCATTCACTCCAGCATAACTTGTAACTTCTCTGGTTATTTTATCATTTTGAAGGAGCTGAAACTAAAAGATGAAGAATGTGAAAGACTTTCTAAAGTGCGGGACCAACTTGGCCAGGAGCTTGAAGAGCTTACAGCTAGTCTGTTTGAAGTAAGTGCTTTATCAAAGAAGATATACAAAGTGCAAAAAAGAATGCAAAGGAGTGAATGCAAGGGAGTTTGTCCTATCCATATCCTTGCAGAGAATGATAGGAGCCCGCAAATGGACATACCTGTACGTCCTCTGATTTTCATGGTTCTACCAGGATTATGGCAGCCAGCAATGATCTGTAATGCTAAAGTGATATGAGCGACTCTACAGCTGCTTGATCACTTATACAGGTGTTCGAAGGTGGTCCCCTCCCGCCGTCTCCTCGGGCTCTCCCATTCCACCGGGGAGCCTGAAACTGAAATGGTTGGTCAGGTTGGCACACCATAGAAATGGAGGAACTTCCATCCCTCCATCAATTCTATGGTGTATGAAACTGGAGGTGATGAGGATCTGGTTTCGGTTTTTTGTTTACTATCCATTACTGGGTCGTAAAGCATCTGATCAAACCGATCTTAGTTTGATCAGATGCTTTTAAGTGCAGAGGAGAGATCTGGGATCTAATAGGCCCCAAATCTCTCAGTAAAGAGTACCTGTCACTGTTTGTGCTATCACAAGGGATGTTGTTCATCCCCTGGGATAACAAAGTTGATAAAAATAAAGGTATTTAAACGAAATGATAATAATAAAAAAATAATGAAGGTTCATGTAAACGGTGATCGCACCACTCATGTGAGGTGTTGCCATGAATGTCAGAGCGAGAGCAATATTTCTAGTGCCAGACCTGTTTAACACTAAACTGGTAACCTGTGAAGGCTTTTAAAGTGTTGCCTATAAGGAGATTTTTAGATACCGTAGTTTGTCGCCATATTTGGTATCTTTTTACTCGCTGTGACATCATCTTTTATATTTTTTAGTTTGTGTGCACTAAAATTCATTAAAGTGTATTTTTTTCCAAAAAAATTGCGGTTGAAAAATCACTGCGCAACTACCACGAAACAGAAAAAATTAAATTGCTTAAATTATATATATATAATGTTTGGGGGTATTTTGAGGTTGGGGGAATGCTGCTTTTTACATATATTTGAGCAGTGTCAGGCCTGGTCTTAAAGTGGTTAATTAAAATAACAAAAGTATAAAAAAAAAAATGTAGGTCCCGCACACATATGTAAATGGTGATCACACCACACATTTTGAGGTATCAATGTTTTTTTGGGGATCAACTTTATTAAGAGATAAACAGCATCCTTTGTGATAGCATGGTCAGTGATAGGTACTCTACTGGGAGATGTGGCGTCTATTAGACGCCAGATCTCTCCTGCTCTCAAAAGCATATGATCAAACCACATCATGTGGCTATAGAGCCTCTCAGATCACTTCTGCAGGAAAGGCCATTGTCAGCTTAGCTGCAGCCATGATCCTGGTATCACTGCTTGTTCCAGAGGATGTGCGTAGGATGAGAAGCAGTTAATAAATTTTTTTGTGATATTTACCTCACATATTTACCAAATTTACGATAAATACTTTGTTTACTCTGATGAATTGACTCTTCTATTATCGCATATGATATTCCCAAAAAGACACAGATATTGCATGATTACTATTCTTATTATACAGGATTTATATAGCGCCAACAGTTTGCACAGCGCTTTACAAAATGAAGGTGGACATTACAGCTACAATACATTTTTGGTAGAAGAGAAAACAGAGGGCCCTGCTCATTGGAGCTTACAGTCTAGGAGGAAGGGTTGAGTGACACAAAAGGTAATAGCTGTGGGGGATGAGCTGATGGAGGAAATAAAAGGCAGTTTACTCGTTAGAAGCACGATATTCTTCTTTAAAGAGAGAGGTTTTCAGGGATCCTCAGACAGATTGGGGTAGGTAGTTCCATAGGATGGGAGAAGCTCGAGAGAAGTCCTGGAGGCAAGCATGGGAGGAGGTGACACGGAAACTAGAGAGCAGGAGGTCTTGGGAGGATCGAAGAGAGTGGTTTGGTTGATATTTTGAGACCAGGTTGGTGATGTAGCTGGGGGCAGAGTTGAGGAAGGGCTTTGTAAGTTGTTAATATTTTGAATTTTATTCTTTGGGTGAGTGGAAGCCAGTGGAGGGATTGGCAGAGAGGAGTAGCAGACACTGAACTGTTGGTAAGGTGGATGAACCTGGCAGCAGCATTCAAGATGGACTGGAGGGGGGATAGCCTATGTAAAGGTAAGCCGATGAGGAGGGAGTTGCAGTAGTCGAGGTGAGAGATAACCAGGGAGTGAATTAGGAGCTTTGTGGTATCATTGGTTATCAACTGTTATTGAAACTGATCCCCAAGACTGCAATAAAAGTGATTTCACTAATGCTGTGTCATCCATAGCAGTTTTCCCTTACCTCCTAATTTATTAATAGATCTTGAATTGATGGGATGGTAAAACTTGATGGAAAATGTAGCTCTGCTTTAAGTTATGTGTAAACAGCTGCTTTTGTAATCCTAGGAAGCACATAAAATGGTACGAGAAGCAAATGTTAAACAAGCCACAGCAGAGAAACAGCTTAAGGAAGCACATGGGAAGGTATGCAGTAACATTTCATAATTTCCTGTTGCTTTCCTGCTTCATAACAATAAAGGCTATCCTTGTCTCTACTTGATTTTAGAGAATTACTGGCATTCCCCCCTTTTGGACTCCAGTCTTTTGTGATGCATTTGACGCCACCCCCCCCCCCCCCCCCCCCCGCCATCTAAATATCTCCCACCCCTTCATCTGTAAACCCCACCCCTTCCTCTTTAGGCTCCACCTCTTCCTTTAGAGCTCCATCTCTGGAGTCAGAGATTGTGGACAGGAGATGGTCAGAGACTGTGGACAGGACGCAGGAGACCTTTAAAAATGAGATTTATTTATAAATAGTAAAATACTCAAAAGAGAATAAAATCAGATGGAAAGCATGTCACAAAGGATGCAAGGTGGCCCAAAAACCCCTGAAGGTGGTCTGATGGGGGACTGTAGACCTCTAGATAGCTGGTGGCTGACACGTTTCGAGGTTGTACCTCTTCCTCAGAGCTTGGACCACATTGCATGCTTTGTGACATGCTTTCCATTTGATTTTATTCCCTTGTAAGTATTTTACTATTTATAAATAAATCTCATTTTTAGAGATCATGCACTAGGCCTCTGCACCCTTTTTTTGTTTCCTATATACAGTTCTCTTTGGATTTCCCTGGTCCGTTGAGGGCAGCAAGGCTTGCATTCCTTTCTTACTCATGTAGGGATATTGACATTGTGGAGTCCACTGTCCAGCGCAGGAGCACATGCATTCGATTGCTCTTTTCTTCTTTCTAGGTGTATTGTAACACTGAGAGACATAATCGCAACAAAAAATTCAAAAGAAATGCATGTCTAACAAATTATGTACTGATTTGCTTGTTCATGAGGGAAATAAGTATTTGATCCCGTATCATTCAACAGGATTTCTGGCTACCAGGTGTCTTTCATACAGATATCAAGCTGAGATTAGAAGAAGTCTCTTAAAGGGAGTGCTGCTAATCTCATCTTCGTCCACAGGAGCTATCAAACAATCAGATTCCAAACTTTCCACCATGGCAAAGAGCTGTCCAAGGATGTCAGGGACAAGATTGTAGACCTACACAAGGCTGGACTGGGCTACCAAAGTACCACCAAGCAGCTTGGTGAGAAGGTGACAACAGTTGGTGCAATCATTCGCAAATGGAAGAAACGCAAAACAACTGTCAGTCTTCCTAGGTCTGGTGCACCATGCAAGATCTCACCTCATGGAGTGTCAATGATCATGAGAACAGTGAGGAATCATCCCAGGATCTTGTCAATGATCTCCAGGCAGCTGGGACCACAGTCAGCAAGAAAACAATTGGTAACACACTACGCCGACAAGGATTGAAATCCTGCAGTGCCCGCAAGGTCCGTCTGCTCAAGAAAGCACATGTCCAGGCCCATCTGAAGTTTGCCACTGAACATCTGAATGATGCAGAGGAGGACTGGTTAAAAGTGTTGTGGTCAGATGAGACCAAAATCGAGCTCTTTGGCATCAACTCAACTCACCGTGTTTGGAGGAGGAGGAATGTTGCCTATGACCCCAAGAACATCATCCCAACTGTCAAACATGGTGGTGGAAACAATGTACCATCAAATCTTGGGTGAGAACCTTCTTCCCTCAGCCAGGGCATTGAAAATGGGTCGTGGATGGGTGCTCCAGCATGACAATGACCCAAAACACACGGCCAAGGCAACAAAGGAGTGGCTCAAGAAGAAGCACATTAAGGTCATGGAGTGGTCTCCAGACCTTAATCTGAAAATCTGTGGAGGGAGGTGAAAGTTCGAGTCGCCAAACGTCAGCCATCAAACCTTAATGACATGGAGAGGATACTTATTTCCTTCACTGTGTATGTGTTTGTGTGTGTGTGTGTGTATATATATATATATATGTGTGTGTGTGTGTGTGTGTATGTATGTATGTATGTATGTATATATATATATATATATATATATATATATATATATATATATACTGTGTGTGTGTATATATATGTAGAGGGGTTGTTAATCTGTTTCAGCGGCTTTGGTGTTAGTGAAATTAACAGGTGCACTAGATGGGCAACAATGAGACAACCCCAAAATAGGAATGGTTTTACAGGTGGAGGCCACTGACATTTTTTTTCCCTACTCATCTGTTCTGACTGTTTTTCACTAGTTTTGCATTTGACTAGGGTAAGTGTCACTACTGGTAGCATGAGGCGATACCTGGATCTTACAGAGGTTGCACAGGCCATCCAATTCCTCCAGGATGGCACATCAATATTTGCCATTTCCAGATTTGCGGTGTCTCCCAGCACTGTCTCAAGAGCATGGAGGAGAGTCCAGGAGACAGGCAGGTACTCTTGGAGAGCTGGACAGGGCCGTAGAAGGTCCTTGACCCATCAGCAGGACCGGTATCTGCTCCTTTGTGCAAGGAGGAACAGGATGAGCACTGCCATAGCCCTTAAACTTGATCTCCAGCAGGCCACTGGTGTGAATGTCCCTGACCAATCAGCAACAGACTTCATGAGGGTGGCCTGAGGGCCCAACGTCCTCTAGTGCATCCTGTGCTCACTGCCCGGCACCATAGAGCTGGATTGGCATTTGCCTTTGAACACCAGAATTGGCAGGTCCGCCACTGGTGCTGTGCTTTTCACAGATGAGAGCAGGTTTACCTTGAGCACATGTGACAGACGGGAAAGGGTCTGGAGAAGCCATGGAGAACATTATGCTGCCTGTAACATCATTCAGCATGACCAATTTGGTGGTGGGTCAGTGATTGGTCTGGAGATGCATATCAACGGAAGGACACACAGACGTCTACAGGCTAGACCAGTGGTCTCCAAACTGCGGCCCGGTGTCACTGATACCAACAATAAGGCACTATTCTTACCAATGACCCCAACAATGGAATACTATTCCTGCCAATGACACCGATGGCAGGGCACTATTCTTCCCATTGACACCAACAATAGGGCACTATTCCTTCCCCTGGTCCCAACAATGGGGCAATATTCCTCTACTAATGCCAATGATGGGCCGTTGAAGCCAGGGCGTTTTCTACTTTCACTGGCCACAGTCTGGCCCCCTCGAAGTCTTAAGGACACTAAACTGGCCCTTTGTTTAGAAACTGTGGAGACCCTTGGGCTAGACAATGGCACTCTGACTGCCATTAGTTATCGGTATGAAATCCTTAGACCCATTGTCAGACCCTATGCTGGTGCAGTGGGTCCTGGGTCCCTCCTCTTCCACGACAATGCCTGACCTCATGTGGCGAGAGTATGCAGGCAGTTCCTGGAGGATGAAGGCATTGATACCATTGAATGGACCCCACGCTCGCCTGACCTAAATCAATAGAACACCACGTTATCAGGCATGCATACAAGCACATGGGGGCCATGCAAACTACTGAGCACCATTTTGAGTTCCTGCAATGAAATTTCAGCAAAATGGACTAGCCTGTAGCATTATTTTTTCACTTTGATTTTTGGGGTGTCTTGAATTGAAGTCCTCTGTCTGTTGATCATTTTCATTTCCATAAAACCATGGGGCATCCATATGTTCCTAACACATCACCCAGTGTATATCTGCATAGATATCCAGCATGATTTTTTCAAAGTGTTCCTTTAACTTTTTTTAGTGGTGTGTGTGTGTCTATCTATCTATCTATCTTGTCTGGGACAACATAAGGTGTGTTGTGTTTTTTTTTTTTTCTCTCTGAAGAAGCTGTTTCATGTGAAAAGTGATTAGAATACTGAAAGTTTTCGCTGAAGTATATTTGATTTAGTAACAGTATGGAGTACATTCATGGTCTTTTTATTGTTGGTTAAATAATAGTATATGTTTGTAGTTTTAGACATGTTTCTTCTGTTCTACCTTTTAGTTAAAATTTCTTGTTGTCTTTTAGGTTTTTTGTATAAACAACCGTATGTTTGTTTATTAATTCATTTAAATGCGTTTGCTTCATCTGTATCATACATATTTACAGATTTGGAAAACTGTAATCATTCTTTTTTTCATGTTTTGTCCTGTTTGAAATGGTTTATAGATTGATGCACTACAGGCAGAAGTTGCAGCTTTGAAGGCTCTTCTCTCCACATCCCCAACTTCCCCCACAAAAGAACTACAGCCTGGAGGGAAGGCTCCGTTCAAAAAAGGCCATGCCCGAAACAAAAGTACTAGCAGTGCTATGGGTGGCAGCACTATGGACCTCACTGTAATGCAGCCAATAGGGAAAAAATCTAAAGAGGTAATTAAAATAGTAATTTATAGTTATTCCAATTCAGGACAGTCTTCTGTTTCTTTAAATGCCACTTGCCTGCACTTGTCTTTATCTAGCACATACAAAAAAATGACTCACTGATAAATATTTCTGCTATTCGCTCCTCAGTTTGGTATGTACTCGTTTTATCAGAATGATCCTGGGTGGTTTATGTACTGGTCTCTATAACATGTACTATTTAAATGCAGTGGACGCTCTTTGGCTAGTTAAAAGAAGGGTAGCATTTGGGAAAGCACACGCTAGTAATGCTGCAGAATAAATCTTTTATTACAACTAGCAAGAAGACATCAATGCCACTTCAGATCTTCTGTATGTAGGGACAAAGTAAACTAGTTCTAACAAATTTTGGGACTGTGATACCGTTGAGAATATTGTACACAAATATTTAGCAGTTCTTTGAGGATACGATTTATTCTAAGATTCTTAAGTTGGTGTTATTGACTGCAAAAAGAGCCCCCTTGGGTAGTTCGCTTTCCTTTTGTTACTTTGAGGGCAATACAAGTAAGAGGATTAGTTGAATAATATGGGGTACATTTAGAAAGCCGTGAATGTGACATTCACCACAAATTCATTACAGATGTGTCTTCCTGGTGCATGTACTTTAACTTACAGTGATTGATTCACCTTCTGTGAATGCTTGACAATTGTCACATTCTGCTTTGTAAATATATGTGCGTATATTGAAGGGAACAGTTGTTAGATCTCAAGTACTAAATCTTTCTTTATATCAATTCCAATACAATATTTACTGTATGTGATGACCTACAATAGTTTTACCATTCAGTATGTGGGTAGAACCAGAGGAAGTTAGATCATTTACAAGATCACACTTAGAGAAAAGGCACTAATGTAGCTAGACATTTTCCTGAATGTCATTAATCTCACTCTCTGGTCATATAAGAAGACTAATTAAGTCTTTTAGAAAAGGTAGAGGCGTTTCTTTTTCCATTTACACACAAAACAAGTATTTTGAATCTTGGTTGAATATCAGAATCCTTCTATAAGCGCAAGATAAGGGCTCAGGTGGGCTCTGTAGCTTGGTCTCCGCTTCTAGCTCTATTGGAGAATGTAGTACATCAGATCAGGGCCCAGTATCCTTTCCTCTGATAGTTGCCTCCATTCTTACTCCCTTCTTTACTCAGGTCAGTCAGCTGGGCCTTTTGCCCCACCTTCCTCACACTTTATTTCTAGATGAATTTTCTGCCCCATTGTCAGAGTTCATGGGCAGAATTTCTGGCCTTATGGTTGTCTTAGACAACAGAGGTCATGGCTGTGCTCCTTCGACCTCCGCTCAAGAATCTTTGACTTTGACCTTGAATCAGACACAGTGCAGGAAGAGGCTGAATCGGCTCAAAAAGATTCCTCACCTTTCTTTTACAATGGATTTTATTATAGACAACACACCAACAAAGAAACAGTCAAAAGCAAGATCACTGACACAGAAGAATAAGGTATACAATTCTTCTGATGAGCGACATAACAAATGCACTGAAGCATTGACAGGGAGAGAAACTGAGTACATAAACACGATACATAAAAGGATGGAATGAAACCTTATAAATTGCGTTAACAGCAAACAAGTAAAGGCCAATGAGCTAGTAGGCGAAGGCCAAAGATAATCGCCAAAATCGCATACAGAGGGTAGGAAAAGCTGAGCACGGGGAGTCGCTGGACTCACATCGGTACTCTACACCAAGGACTCTCGAGAAAGTCTGACAGGTATATAAAACATTGCAGTACGATTCTCTAGGAGTATTACAATCCGCGCAAATAGCATGAAGACTAATAAAAACAGAGAACGAGAGAAAAAAAAGAAGAAAAAAAGCAAAGAAGGGGTAAACAAGGATAGTAAAGACAAAGAAAGGGCTCCAGGGGATCGCTCCAGGAGAGTCTTATATCGCCAGGAGGGTCTGGTCAAATCTAGACAGTTGAGCCACATCAATCCAGGCGCACCAGATCTGCAAAAACTTTGGGTGGGCGTCTAACAGCTTGGCCGTTAGCTTCTCATCAACCATTATAAAATTCATCCAGTTCTTAACGGCCTCGAAGCTAAGAAGAGGGGTTTTCCAAGCTCTCGCGATCGTTAATTTGGTATCCATAAATAGATGCGATGCCAGCTGCCGCTCAGGACGGAGTAGGCCTACTAATGGTTTAAATAATAGCACCTTGTATGGGTTGCGCTTAATATCTGTGTGTAACTCAGTGCGGAGAAGGGCATAGACCCTAATCCACAGTCTGCACACCTTGGGGCAAGTCCACCAAATATGAGTCATGGTGCCTATTTGTTGACAACCCCGAAAGCAAGTCAGAGAATATGAGGGGGTAAAACAAGCCAGTTGGGCAGGCGTATAACACCATCTGTAAAGGACCTTGTAGGCATTTTCTAAAATAATAACTTTTCTCGAACATTTAGACAATGCTGGAGTCGTGATCCGCCAGTCTTGCTGATCTAGACAACCCCCGAGAGCGGACTCCTCACCTTTCTAAGGAATTAGATTAAGATGATGTTCCTGCTACATATATTTCCTTAACTCGGCAATATGCTGTTTAAAGCTGTATGCATTTGTTAATGTCTCAAAATTGCCTATACTAGCTAAGCTCTTCCTGGTTCACATGCTGGTTGAAAAGATTTTTGCTGCTTCCAAATGCTTTGCCCAGCAGTATCCTGTTCAGGAAAGTTTTTCTTAGGGAATGGGCAATTCTTGTGCTGAATGCATCCTTTTCTTTTATTTTAAAAAGACCTTCATGGCTCCCATGGAGGATAATCCTGTGTTCAAAATTAGTAAGCTTGGTGGCTGCTCTGAAAGCTATTTTTCACATGGTTAACCCTGCAGTTGTGTCTAAGGCAGTCTGTTAAACCATTTTTGTCTGTATTAAGCTAATGGCCCACAACCCTGGTTCCATCCTAGTGCTCAGGTTAAGAAAGCTTCTTTTTGTCTCTCTACACTAAGTGTAGGACAGGAATGTACTTTTGTAAGAAGGCATGTTTTTTCAAATCAACCAAGATCTCTTCACAGTGAGGAGGCACCACCACGTCTTAAAATCTCAGACACTTGTGTTCAGATTGTTTCCAGGGGCTACAAACTGGGGTTTTGCACTCTGATTCCTCCCCACTTCACACTCTCCAACTTGTCCCTTTCCCCTGTCATTACAGGTAGATCTGCTTGCTGTTGTTAAACATCATTTGGATCAAGGGGTTATTTCCTCTATCAACCGTAGAACGATTTCAAAGTTTACACTGGAACCTCTATACAGTTCCCAAATTGAATGGAGGAGTTCAGCCTGTTGTTAACTTTCTAACTGTTCCTATATCTGCAGAAGTTTTGCTTGAAAAATACCAGGTAGGCTATTGCCTCCCTCCATCTAGGTGATTTTCTGGCCTCAACAGATGTGCGGGATGCCTATCAACACATTCCCAGTTTTCTGCCTCATCAACACTGTGTATTTCAGTGGGCAATAAGCATTGCCCATTTGTCACTTTTCTCTTCTCTTTCCATGGTGCCCTAGGTTTTCACCAAGGCGCTTGCCCTGGTTTTGACTCTGTTTCATGCTCAAAGAATTCACATTGTGGGTTACCTGAACGATCTCCTGTTAAAGAACCAGTCCCTTTTGTACCTGTCAGCCACCATCCAATAGATGGTACAGGCTCTGCAGAGCTTCAGTTAGATCATCCTCCAGAAATCATCGCAGGACCCATCTCAAAGATTGGAGTTCCTAGATCTGATGCGGACACTTCCTTTGTCTAGAATTTTTCTGTCACATAGAAACACCGTACCCAAAAGAAATTTGCTAGAATAATGTGCTAGTATACATCGGTAACGTCACCAGCTGCCACTAAAGCAAATATTTCCTATATGGCACACATTTAGGAGATATTTACTGTACCTACAGGTAAGCCTTATTATAGGCTCACCTGTAGGTCTAAATAACAAACAGGTATTTATTGCCACTTTATGCTGTCCCTTACCGCTGGACTCCTCTGTTGCGAGGACATGCAACATAAATCCAGTCAGACAATGTCACAGCCCACATCCCAGGGGTGGAAAGTTTTAAGGCAAATTTTCTTAGTTGTCGTCATCATCTGTATCCAGAGGAAAATGATTTCCCTCCAGAGGTCTTTCAAACCCTTTGCCTTGGGCTGGGACACAGATGTGGATCTTCCTGGCTTTCAGATTCATCAACAAATTAGATAGGTTTGTTGCCAGTTCCAGAGACCCTTGGACCTTGGTAGTGAATGTTCTGGTGACTCGGTGGGATGAGTTTAACCTGATCTACACCTTTCTGGGATGTATCCTGTGTTCTTCTTCCACTCTGGTTTGGACCACAAAAAAATTGTCCTTGAGTACTATTAATGGACATATCTCGGCCTTGGCCATTCTGTTTTAGAGACGATTGGCCTCTTACTCTTTAGTTAGGGTCTGTAAGGAGTAAATCCCATCTCTACCTCTGTTTGCTCCCCTGTATCCACTTGGGATCTTAATCTGGTGTTCTCAGCTCTTCAGAAGCTCTACTTCCAAGGATAATTCCTCCTCTGACCTGACTGTAAGCAGCCTTATCTTGTAAGGAGCCTTTGTAATGTTGCACAAGGACTACTAAAAAAAAAAAATGTTTTGCCCTGCAAGACAAAAGCATAATGTGCCAATTGAAGAATGGGCTCGGGTGAGGTCATCACTGGATCCCTGGACAGGTTAGTGTTCTTATATTAAACCTCAGCAGCGACAGTATTTGTCACTGCTGACTTTTAATTTTTTGGGAGGAGACTGGAGTGCCTTTTTAATCAATATATTGTCTGGCTTTCCTTATGTCCTACTCCAAAGCTTCCTAGAGAAATTTATCTTCACTATCTGGGCATGCTGGATGTGGTAAGGGTTTACCTCTCAGCTATTGCTGCTGCTAGGAAATAAGATTCACGTTTTGTGCTTCCTGAAGGTTCTCACAACAGTGTCCTGCCTCTTGCTGCACAATTA